AAATGCTGGATTCCAGATGAGGGAGTCAGTGGTTGTTGGTCATTTAGGGAGGTTGGTTGAGTTTTGCTAGTAGCTGTGGTCAAAGAAGAAACAAAAGGAATTAGATTCAGGGATCTTTCTCTCTCTCTCCCTCCATTCTTCTTTCTCTCCTATCTAGTGGTGTGGGTGGAACCAGAAGACAAAGGCATAGGAGAAAGAAGAACCCAACACGTAGCAATACTGGACACAGACAGGTTTGAATAGCCACTGAGCCACATGACCAGCCCCGGCTATATCCGTTTTCAGTTTAGAGAGCATTTTCTCCAGTAAAACTGTTATAGTGCAAATGTCAATACTGGCAGAAAATGTGTCGAGTTACTACTCTTTTATGGGGCAAAGCAACTCTTACCAATCTAAAAGGCTATGTGTTAGGCAGACAAGAGTTATAAGGGATAAGGAAAGTATATTGAACAAGGCCGTGCCAGATTGCGGTGAATTCCCAGAAGATTCACACACTGAAGCAGTAGATTTTTATACTCCAGGATCTAAATTCTGTAAAGAAGCTCAAGTGTGTGACTGCTCTCCCGGGACCACTCAGTACAACCTATTTCCTTAGGAAAAGATGGAGACATGGTAGGCTTACATGTACAGAAGGGCAAGGAATGTGGCCCACTGGAAGCTAAGGAGAGAAATAGCCAGACACACGTACACCCAGTCTGATCTCTGATCTTACAGCCTCCTGGACAGTAAAAGACATCCAATCCTGATGTTTAAACCCCCAGTCTGTGGTCATTTGTTATACAGAATCTAGTATAGTAACCCAATACAAAGGGAGGTGCTATTTATTGATAGCTTGAGATATTAACAGTGACATGATTTGTCATATAGACCAATACGACTAGGACCACAGAGCTATCCATACATAAGCTTCCTACAGCTCGTTTAATTTAGCAAGCATTTGTGCTCATGTTAGCTGGAAGCTTCTCTTACAATTCCTCACCCATGAGTATTCTACCCCTTACCAGTGTGATTGTGACATCATAGAACCTCTTTTTTTTTTTTTCTTTGCATGGTTGATTATTGTTTTACTTAGGTGGGGATAGAATTACTCTAGATGATCAGTGCATCTAAAGGAAAAAAATTATGGTACTCTTAAGGTAGATTTTGAGACTTTTTTTTTCTTTCTGAGACAGAGTTTCTCTGTGTAACCCTGGTTCTTCTGGACTCACTTTGTAGACCATGCTGGCCTTGAACTCACAGAGATATGCCTGCCTCTGCCTCTCTGAGTGCTGGGGTTACAGGTATGCTCCAGCATGCCCGGCTGAGACTTTCATTCTTAAAACTTCAAATTTATGTTAAGAACTGAGCTCTTCTTTCTTACAAATGTACTACAAATATCATATTAGGGTCAGCGTACAGAAATAGATCTCAAACCTTGTCTAAATGAAGATAATATATAGTTAAGATAGAGAAACAGCCAGGCATGGTGGCACATGCCTGCAATCCTAGCGTGCAGCGAGGCAGAGACAGGCCAATCTCTGTGAGTTTGAAGCCAGCCTGGTGTACAACGTGAGTCCAGGACAGTCAAGGCTACATATAGAAACCCTGCCTCGAAAAACCAAAACAACAATGAAGAAAAAGATAATGCAATTTCTCCTATCTTAGATAGCATACAAAATATAGTAGTGATTGTTGTTAGAAATATGACTTTTTCTCAATTGAAAAAATAGATTTGGGGTTTGTCCTTAGTTTAATTTGTGCTAGCCTAGTAGAGCACCTGAGATAGGTGAATTAATTAGATTCCAAATAGAAATTTATTGGCTTATAGTCCCAGAGCCTAAGTACAATAGAGGGCTAGAATGTCTAGAAAGGAGGGCTCAGCATCATCCATGGGGAAATTGTGTGTGTGTGTGTGTTTGTGGGCGCGCGCGAACATGCATGGGCATTGTGACAAAAAGATCTTGTTATTTTATAATCATCACTCGTAATAATTCACTTTCCAAGTAACATTATTAACTTAATTCTTGATAGAACATCTATGTCTTCTCCACCTTTCGTTAGACCCCACTTTCCTTCCAATACTGCTGTCCTGGACATGTTGTCTATAAGCCTTTGCTGAGGAATTTTCAAACTATAGAGTGATTAAAGACTATATCTTTATTTCACATGGCATCTGCCATATATTTTCACCCAAATATCAATACTGCAGAGTAATGCAGTAGTGTAGGAGTTCTTATGTAATAATTCCATGAATCCACAGTTCCAGCTACTGCGCCTAGTAAAGCAGATGTGTGAAAAGCAAAACTGACAGGTACACGGGCTTTGAAAATCAGTCAGTTCTCAAAATGGGTTTTTATACTAATTTATCTTAATTCACAAATTTCTGTTCTCCGTTTATTCCAATTGCAAGCCTTCTAAAAAGAAACACATATAAGCTAACCTAAAACAGGCCATCTCAAAGTTGTATGCTTGGACAATTGACAGTGAGTTAAAAAACATCGAATGAGAGAGGAAGAAGACTTCAGGAAGGAGCTAGAAAATGAATGTGCAATGTGCTAAGTGGGCATCAACTTCTTATTTATCTATTAGGCACTGGGGATTTTAAAACTAAGACTGAAGAACCAGACTTTGAAGGTCATTGTACTGCCAAATTACTGAAATTAATGTTTAATATTGGAAAAAAATATATATATTTTTTGTTTTTCAAGATGAGGTTTCTCTGTGTAGCCTGGCTGTTCTGGACTCACTGTGTAGACCAGGTTGGTCTCCAAGTCACAGCGATCAGCCTGCCTCTGCCTCCCTGAGTGCTGGGATTACAGGTGTGCACCGTCAAGCCCAGTTACGGGCAAATTTTTAGAAGATGTAATAGTTCTTTAACATTTTGAATAGAGGGGCTGGAGAGATGGCTCAGTGGTTAAGAGCACTGTCTGCTCTTCCAAAGGACCCGGGTTCAATTCCCAGCACCCACATGGCAGCTCACAACTGTCTATATCACCAATTCCAAGGGATCTGACACCTTCACACTAATGCACATAAAATAAAATAAATTATTAAAAAAACATTTTGAGTAGAGCAGTCCTGAAGATAAAACATATAGCCCTGTGTTTCCATGCTAGCTACTACTGACATGCCTGTATTCCGGATTTCAAATGTAAGAACCCGACTTTCTAAAACTATCTGTTCCATGTAGAATACATGCAGCTGCTCTGTGAATGAGTTACAGTACTGTGGTCGCCAACTGCGGGAGCGTGGCTCTGAGATCTGTTCTCAAAGAGATCAGCGCTCTCAGGGTCTCAGCGTTCTCATCAAAAAAGCACGGTTTGGAATTTATTCCTAAAATTCTTTGCTGCTAATGGCTTTACAGCCTTTCTATTCTAGCAAGGATACAGGACCATTAATGAAGTAAAATTTTATAATTTGTCCAACTAACATGGCAAATTCAAGGAGTCAAGAGGAAAATCACAGGCAATGGTTGAGACATCTAAAAGGCAGATTAAACATGGTTATAAAGTACAAAAATTCTTACAAGGCGTTTGCGACTTACTATGATCCTATAAAACCTGGGATTTCGTGGATTCGTTACCAAGCTTGCTTTCCTTTGCCCTGGATTAAATTGCACCCTGGTTTGTATGTGCATTGTATTTCTGTACTTGAAACCATGCTCTCATTCATCTACCTTTCCCTGCGCTGCACCCTTACCCTTTCTTTCCCCAGCATCGCTGACGCTACTGAAGACATTTTATTGCAGATTTCTTTCTCACTGCTACGCTTTTTCTTCCTTCCTTCCTCTCTCTCTCTTTCTTCCTTTTTGGTGAACCAACGAGTTTTATTGGAGTTTGCCAAGCTTTTCTTACAGTTCCGTTTACAGTAGACACACATGGTAGTTAATCGTTTGTTTAATTTGGCAACAGGGATATTAGAGTTATGAATCATCTAGGCAGTGATTCTTTCATAATGTTGTTTGCCTTATGTCTATTCATTTATATTCTTTTCAGTAAACAAACCTCAGGTCCCCAGAGTCTAGACGTGACTGGTTCACATTCCTGTGCATGAAATAGACACAAAATGTCACTACTGATGTATATAACAGTTAGTAAGGAGAAAAGCACCGTCCAAAAGGACTGCTAACAGCGTTCTTATTTGACTTTCTTTTCTTTTTCTCCCAGCAGGTTGGTTGCTTGTGAAATTCCTAGAAAGGTGTGGATGACAGAGAAAGTAGCTGGAGTTCTGGGCCCTGCCGGGTTTTGGGACATTGCAGGTAGGGAAGGACACTTTCTGTTTTGGAGACGTTGGGCAAGAGGGCTATCCGGTATGCCAGCGTAGGGCTCTAGCTTCCGACTGGAGGTCAGAATGGGGGAGTTTGGCAGGAGCCCCAAAGCGGGCGCTCAGTAACCTGCAGGACGGGTGGTTCTGGCGGCTCAGCCCGCGCCGTGGGCGGGGCTCAGGCGGTGGGCAGGGCGGCCCAGGGGGCGGGGCAGCGAGCTGAGCCCCTCCGGCACCCGCCGCGGGTCACAATGTAGGGTTAGAACGGGCGGGGCGGGGCGGCGCGGGGGCGGGGCCGGCGGGCTGGGCGGGGGCGGTGACGGCGGCG